TAAAGACTGTTAACATTTTGTAGAATTGTGAATAGTGGAACATACTCAAAAAACGATTTTAAAATATAGATAACAGGTGCAAATATTCTCTCTTTTGAATGCTGAGAAAGATTTAGCAAGGCTGTACATAAATACAAAAAAAGACACATGGTAAAAAAAAGAAATGACGGTATCACCATAATATGCACTGTATTTAACTTCTAAAAAAACGATAATACATTTAATTTTGGAACAGCTACAGCCATTTTAATTATGAGCATTATCAAACTTCTCACTGAGTGAATTGTTATGCAAATTAGCAATTATCTCAGCTTTTTTAGTGCACATTCCAGAACATTAAAAAAAATAGCTCCTAGAGGCTTCGACCTTTTGTTTTGAAATTTTCACAAATGATTGACAATTTGTTTATCTTCAAATCGCCGTCGGGATGAATTTTAGTTGAACAGTGTTACAACAATGGTACAGACAACTAGCCTGGGTGTTAATTTATGCATAAACTTGAAGTAGTGGAATTTGAGCTGCTGCCCTGCGAAATTGACAACTGGTAGACAATTTTCAAGACGTCGCTTTCTTCATAGTAAACAGATGTACCCATAAACCAATTTTGACAGGAAACAGAAGCATTGTTTAGAAGCCAATTTATTTTAAATCAATTTTGACCAAAAAAGCACATTTTTGTGCATATTTCAAACTACAGTGTCCATAAAAAAATATTAACAACATTTTAAAATTCATACAATATGCTTTCCGAAAATATATAGTTTTGTGGACAAGGGAGGTCATCTTGGTTTCCTAATTAACTAATTAAAATACCTGTCAGGTAAACTGCATCTTTACCTTAAATGCACTGAAACCAACAATATAATAAAAATGGCCTTGTGCACACGTGACTCCCCTTTAACGGCTACTCTGAGACAATGTTAAGTGTGATGACAATTTTGAACAACTGCTGCCATACAAATGAAAACATTCAGCATTGTACGCATGTGAATTGTAGTGATTTTGTGATGTACATGCCTTCATTGTATACACCATCATAGGAGAAATAAGATCGGTAAGTTTGAATCAATATATTTCATGTGCGTGGGGTTTAGTTTAGTTGATATATATAGAGATTCCATTACCATATTTATATATAGTGTAAGCCCCACCAATCCGTATAATTAATTATAATTAAATCCATATTGTGATAATTTACCGTCAATTCATCAACCATCATTAGCCAAGGAACTAACGGGCATCACATTTATTGACATGTACGATTTTGCAATAAACTGAAAGTCAGTCATTTTGTTCATTGATCGCTTTGCTATCGGTTTTTTTCGTGAAACTCATTCGAAGTTAGTAACGAGAGAGCCATACGTTCTATGGATTGTTTCTAGTGCAATACGAACAATCGACAACCATCTCATCTCGTGCACTTCTTCACATTTAAATTGCGTGTCATAATTATTAGGAATAACACAAGATGGAATAAGTATCATCCAAACATGAAAGTAAATTTATTCAATGGTGCCAAAGAAAGAAAAGGTATATTTTCATATAAACTACATATATTTTGTTATTATAACTGATAATCACAATGATCCATACCTGACACGTACACCTATGATCAAGTAATAGACAAGAATAAAATAGAGATACATGGTGAAATGAATTAAGAGACAACGATATGAATCACAAGTTGAAAGAAGCATATTCCATTTTATGATGGAACAACAACAATAAAACCATTTACAAAATTGTTATGAAGACAAAAGTGAGTGAAGATATCATTAATGACAATAAAACTGTTTCATATTATCTGAAAAAATATATGATAATATATACAAACCAAGGTACGTGACAAGACAAACATCGGAATGAGGACCTTATAATGACAATACACACTGTGATAAAACGAGGAGAAAATGTCAACTGTTGCTACGTTGATCTGAAAAAAATGCTTTGATACTATCTGGGAAGAACAATTCATTCGCTATAACATCACTGGAAATTTTGTGGCATTTATAATATTGTCACACCTACTTTCAAATTTCACAATATTTTTTTAAAAAGCTGCTTCTTAAGCCCTACATTTAATATATTAATGAATGAATCTTTTGAGAGGCCTAACCAAATAGAAATACTGGCTCATGAACTACATCATTGCATATTGTACGTAGATGATAGTTTTATAATACCCAAAATTATCCCAGGGTTACAGTTGGCAATAAACGTCCTATATACATACACAGTAGAGTGGGATTTGCAAGTAAATACAATAAAAGGAAAAAAAAACCAGAAGTTTAGCAGGCTCACAAACCTTCAAATTCATCCAAAAAAGCATCGACATTACAGAAAAAATGCTTCTACTTTGATATAACATTAAATACAAACCTTGCCTTGCCAATCACCTTGGCTTGTATACACAGACTAGACTGCAGTCACAATTATATACGAGCTATATAAACACTATTAAAATCAAGTTGACAATATTGACTTATGGCGGTGAAATCTAGAAATTTCACTTACATTCAGACAGTCATAGCAAGCAGAGGTAGGAGGTAAATTAATTTCCAATTAGTGATGGTATGACCTGCCTGCCAATACGAACAAAATCGGCAAAGCCTAGCTTATTGCACTTGTAACACATGCCCTCATCAATTGATAAATAAATAAATACGGTGCACTTGATCCTCATAAGATATATTAATTACGTCAACTAGTTTACCTTTACGGCAAATCATAAAAACTTGCCGACGAAAAAACATGACATGTTTTAGATCCGGCTGATTACACCCTAGAGGAATTGTACGGATCCCACTGACAACGCGACCATAACGATTTAGTTCCACATCTAGAATATTGTTTGGCATAAAAGGGGAGAACTCCTGACATCAAAACTTTTGTAGCTGGTTTAACTAGCGTTCCAATGTAAATGCGGGTATTTCCAGAGAAGAAACAATCTGTACATACCTTTTCGACGGACTTTACAGAGTCGAGGAAAACAATAACACTACGCTTCACTAGAGAGACAGCAATGATGTTTTGTAGCCCAACAGTATAAGCAAGTGCTTGAATATATTCTTCAATATTCACACCAGAGATAGGGTCACACTTCATTTAATGGTTTTCTGTAACTCCTTCAAATGGATTGCTCTATGGAGGCTTCAACATGGCAATAGTTTTCTCTCTGATAAATGTGTTAGACGGCATTAGTTTGCTGTATACTGGCTGGATATTAGATGAGGATTGACTGCATTCGAATATCAAGCATTGGCTGGATTTTTTATGCTTCTTATTACTTTTCACTTTTTTATCGATCTTTTCATTACTTTTCACTTTATCATGGGTCTGGCAGATTTGTACGTCTCGGCAGTGTGTGCAACAAAACATGGTGGCCTCCTATGTAGATATGTATTATTGTTCCCAATAATTAATTTTCACTGGGAGAGTGATAACGTACACAGAATTTTCAAGCCATTCTTGTTTACATGCATGTAATCATGTAATTGTTTTTATAATTTTCAGTCAGGTCTTGTTTTATAATGTTTAGGACCAATATTGTTCAAATCAGTCTTGTATTTTGCTTGTGTTCAATGAGACTCAAACATGTTTTTTATGAGTGTATACAGTGACTGATTATTTCTGCTCACTGAGATAATTGTGATTTTCTGTGTCTTAATTGATACATGTTAATTTGGTGATTTTAAGCAGTAACATTTTTATGTTTTGTAGCCTTGTTTTTATCGTATCAGTTCAATATTTCTACGTTTATTAGTACTCTTGTTTTTGGTCTTAACGATTTCGTTAAACTAAATGATGTGCATATGAAAAACTATGATATTCACTGTTTCTAATTGTTTTAGCTAATGTAAAAACCTGCGATTTGCAACCTACACTACGCAATATTGTTGTCTTTGTATAATTTGTTGACCCTCAGATTGATAATACATTTTTTCGTGTATGTTCAGTGTAATACAGCTGTGAAATAATTGTCTTTAAACCCGTACTTTGTAATACAAATATCATAAATTGGATTAGTCAATGCAGGTAAATAGAGTTTTTGACAATGTTTCTGAGCATCATAAAATACCCCAAAATCTCAAGATAATTCTCGTCTTACATAATCTTACTGAATTATTATTAACATATTTAATAATTCGAAAATTTCTGGTAGTTTCTGGTAGAAGTCGACTTAAATGCAGGAATGATATAAAGCCGTGAATGTCGAATGAAAACAACGAGTGGTTTACCTTCAAGTGTTCTCATTATAGCGCAATGTTTTTACAGGTCTTTAAAAAGTTGACCAACAATTTTCCAACTTCTTTTGGATGTGTTTGATTGTTCCTTGATTCATTGCAACGTTAGTAGTTATGCTACCAATGCATCCCTAAAATTCCATTTCATTCAATTTTTTAAAGACAAACTATAACCTTATCCGAAGCTTTCCAAAGCTAAATACGCAAATTCCCATTTTCCAACCGAATTTAGAATGCACTGTAACTAACCGGATTACTACTGTACAACATTTAAAAATCTCTTGGGTTTCACTTTAGCGTTTCGGATTACGTCATGCAATCACATTTGATTCAAATTGTTTTAATCGTGAAATCAGCGACACCTGGACTCGGTAAATGCAAAACGTTTTTCCGAAATATAGAGTACTAAAGTATAATTTTACCAATTCACGTATATCCGTCTACTCGTTCCTTGAATGCAAGCTGGACCACATTATAAAGCGAATGATCACTAACCATATATATGTACAAAATGCGGTTATCGTAAGTACCGCTTCAGTGGATTCATTTTATGATTATGCAAAATCACCCGAGGTGTCCTAATTTTTTACTAATTTTAATGATATCTATTTCATAACTTTAGTGTTTTAGCTAATAACCATGGGAGGACGGTTAAAGCTGTGGTTTGCTGTCTTTATACTGCTGTTCATACTGATAAAAACGGTTATGTGGTACCTTGATTGGAGCAATTCATTATCCCAAGATATTACAATCATTATGACGGTATCCAGGAACAATACAATACCTGCGTCTCAGGATATTAAGATGCCTGCAATAAAGGAGTACAAACACATTCACGTGTTAATAAATGCTAGAATGCGTACAGGATCATCTTTGACGGGTCGTTATTTTTCTAACCATCCTGACTTTATGTACCTATACGAACCGGAACTCACTTTACGACATTCTCTTCGTTACAATGTATATGACGACAGTACAGCGAATATAGAGATAATCCAAAAACCGTTCTACGAAATTATTGAAGGTTTTTTTGACTGTGATTATACAAGACGTCCTGAACTGTTACCGTTTATAAACAAGACAGAATGGATGAAATCATCGAATGGTTTTGCTCACCTTCAAGACACTGAGTTTAATGCCAAAGAACTAAATAAAATATGCGAGACGAAGAACTATCGTGTGGTGAAGACGGTGCGGATAAATAATATTTCCAAAGGTCTTGAAACGTTAAAAAAGTATGACGTGAAAGTCATCCAAATCGTAAGAGATCCCCGGGGAATGATCAACTCGAGAATAGACTTTGAGCACTTAGACGCACAACAGAAACAAGGTAAAAGCTCGCAAAAAATCAGTGAAGCTAGTAAAAACTATTGTATATGGTTAAAAACAAATATAGACGCTGTTTTCAAAGGGCCGACGTGGTTGAAGGAACACTATATGATCGTGCGTTATGAGGACCTGGTTGAAAAACCGCGTGAATTAGTCCCGCTGATGTACGACTTTATAGGCTTGTCAAATACAAACGAGACTGATACAATTTTATCAAGCCAGAAATCCAAACCAGGCAATGCAATTGCATGGCGGTATAGTTTACCATTTAATCAAACACGCATTGTGCAAAATAACTGTCCCGACGACATATTCGAAACACTAGGGTATGTGAAAGTTAAGAATGAAAACCAGCAACGTAATAATTCGTTCAATCTGGTGACGTCATCATCACCCCATATTAGTAAATTGATAACACTGGAATAAAATTAGATCGATTCTAAATAATAATATTAACCATTAAAATGACGATAATAACAAGACATAGTGATTTTTTTTTATCTGTGAAGAAAGCTAATACAGGTAGCTTTACTTGTTATATATATTCTTAGTTATTTAATATCAGAATAATAGAAATCAAAATGTTATAACAAACTGACATGTAAACAAAACTGAATTGTTATAAAACTAAATAACGTTGTTCAAAAATAAAGACACAATGTCCGAAGAAAATATATAATAACTGTTGCATTGGCTATAAACACAAAGTGCTTCATATGGCAGTGGCTTCAAAAAGAACTGGTATATAGGAAACATACAATTGATATGAAGTTAAAATTACCTTTTTTATATGGAATACCACATCAATTGCTATAGCAATATCAATTGCTATCAACAGCATATAACATATAGGGCACACACACCAGGTCACTAAGCATACGTCGCTCGCCAACAAGTGGTGACAATACTATATATTAAGTTAAAATTATTATGTCAGGTTTATTATGTACACTTGGTCTGAATATACTATATGGAGAAAATCATTTCACAAGAGCCGAAAAAAGAACAATGTACTGTTGGTAACCACTATAGACATAACTAGCATACAAATAATATCATGCCATTATATCATGAATTATATTAATTCATTAACCAACTAACAGACTGACTAGATTTACCGTATTAACTTAAGTGATAAGTGACTAACTATTAACTGTTAAGAAATATAAAAGCTTTAACTTTATCATCCTAAGTGGCAACTGCCCGACTCTATCAGCGGCTCGGGAATATTAATGCATCTTATTATCATAATCTATGTTTTACAAGTATTGGCAATACAAAACATCCTTAGTAGGAAGTGGTCTGTTTTCATATGCCACCACAGGTTATAGATCCATAAGGCCGTCTTTCAATTTCACAGTGATACATTTCACTTTGACAACAGGTCGAAAAGTACATATTCAAATTCACGTCACTATTTAAGAAAAAGCGAATTTGCACGCGACGTATATCACCATCAATGAACCTAGTCGTTCACGTGACTAGCACCGGCCAAAGTCATGGCTTCACGAAATCAATAAACTTTACCCAAAATAGAAAGAAAAGATACAATACATTTCTACCAACCAACACAAGTGATCACAGCGTATGTTTTACTTTATGAGCGCTCGATGCCCGAATCAAACACTTTGCAGTCATTGGGAGATGATTGTAATTGCAAAACCAAGTTAATAAGGAAACTTATTTTTCACCGAATTTTCACATAAAAGTTAATTCTATAACTGAAACGTAGCTCAAAACAAGTCAAGCATCGACAAATATTTATCACAGTTGAGTATTACGATCAATATTAACCAAACACGATTTATAGACTTCACAATGGTGGCTGAATATTTATACAGAAGATGACACAGCCTACGTGATCGACGATTGGCGAAACATTCACTCGACTGGCCGATCTGCAGCTTAATTTTAAACTAACGTCAAATGCTTTCATGGTATTTTTTTCAGAATCCTAGCATTTGTTATTTTACCATAAGCATAGTAGATTTCATGTCAAACAATCTTCACTGAAAATACATTGTATTGATGAGCGATTTTAAACATATACCGTAGAACACTATTTGTCATGTTTATTATACCATGAGCAAATTT